AGAAGAGGGTTGAGGGAAAATGAGTGTGAGTCTCTAGTGCTGTTGATTTCAACACTTGAGAGGGTCTACTTGGACCAATCTATATCTGATTGTAGAGTGTGGTCTCCAACTTCTGATGGTTTATTTTCCTGTGCATCTTTCTTTGGTTTGCTCACTCATATTAACCCTATGGGGGTGAACTTCCTAGTGATAGAAATTTGGACTAAACCGATCCCTCCAAAAGTACAAGCTTTCTGTTGGGAAGTGTTCTTAGGGAAGGTAAACACTTGTAATGTGCTACAGAAAAGGAGGCCAAACAATTGCCTCTCTCCTCATGTGTGTGTCTTTTGTTTGGGATGTGGTGAAACTCTAACCCACTTACTATTATCCTGCTCTTTTGCTTCTGGTATTTGGAATGTTGTTTGTTCTCTCTTTGGATGCAGATAGGCTCCCCCACAGGACGTGGTAAGTCTATTCAGCCCCTCTTTCCTGTGTCAATGGAAGAAAAGGGGAAAATGTATATGGAAGGCAGTGAGAGTAGCTATAGTATGGACTATTTGGGAGGAAAGCCTAAGAATCTTTTCAGTATAAAGCAAAACAATGGAGGAAGTTATTGAAGCCATAAAAATCAGAACTGCACATTGGGTGAAGACCATGGAGATATTTAGAAACTACTCCGCGAATGAGATACTAAGGAATTGGGCTGTAATAGCACAAACAGATGTACCTAAAGTTCTTGTAAGCATGGAATGGAAGCCACCAGAATGGAACAAACTAAAACTGAATTTTGATGGGAGTTCTCTTGGCAACCCTGGAAGGGCAGGCATAGGGGGTGTGTTTAGAAGTTATCTGGGTGTGGTGGTGACTCAATACAGGCTGAAACTCTAGCCCTACTTCAAGGTCTAAAGATGGCTGAGCAGATAGGAACAACAGACTTAGAAATTGAAGGAGACTCTCTATTGGTCATCTCTTGGGCCAAAAACATCACATCAGCACCTTGGAAGCTCAAGTTTATTTTCAGAGAAATTGACACACTTGCAAGGAAGTTCAACTCTCAGTTTGGTTGGGTTAAAAGGGATGCAAATGGGATGGCGGATACTCTAGCAAAACAAGGGGCAAATAGATCTTCATTGTATTGGGCAGAATTGCAACTGATTGCTGGAGGTTGCAATTTCCTATGCAATCTTTAGCTATTGTATCTTAATCTCTCTGTTATTAATGAAAGATTTTTACTGATAAAAGAAAAAACTAAAGATACTGGATATGTAATTTGAGTTTTTAATCATAAGGTAGCTATCACTTGATTTTAGGGTGGAATAGTTGTGAGAAATTTGAATCAAGAGAACTAATAATTTCATGATGCTAAGTGAGCTTTATGTGATAGTTATGGTCTTCTAAGATGTGGTGATGTTTCTTAGGGATGAATGAACCACTCTTTCTTCCTCTAGGACAAATCTTGAAGGTCTACGAAGGCAAAACTCCAGAAAGGATGCAGGTGAAATAGATCAAAAAGTAAGAACTCTAGAAAGGATAATTCTCAAGCAATAGATCTCATGAAATGAAGAAAAGTCAAAAACTGGTTCAAGAATCAACCAAGAACAAATCAAACCCAAGTCAAATCTGGCAACAAGAAACTGTATGATAGGTTATATCTTATGAAGTCAGATCTTTATGCAAGAAATTCTAATGAGTTTCTCTCACATAATGAGACTGTCATTGGAAACCCAAAAAGAGGATATTTTGAATTTCTCGCATAAATGAGTCTTAAAGAGATGATTGCATCACACCACATGTTTAGGCATGTCCCGGGAAACAGCTGAGGTAACTGGCTTCACCTGAGGCTACAGAGCTTCAATTTTGGTTTCTTCCAATTTCTCCTAGTCCCTTTTGCAAACTGGGAATGAGGCCTGAATCCTTTTAGTCCTTTTAACCTTATTTTTGTATCTGAGGGCTTCACTTTGGTCTTCCAAAGGGTTAAATCGATCTGCCCATGCACATGCTTCTGTATCAGATGCTCTTGGGGGAAAAAGCCATTACTCAATGTTGGTCCTGACTAATTGGGGTCTTGGGAGGGGTGGACTAGATATGAACCTAACTTCTGGTACACGTAAAATAATTTATTACCCAGAAGTTAGTATTTTTTATTTTTTATAATTTTTTTTATGAATATGAGGGGAGAGGAAGGGACTTGACTGAACCAGTGGTAGGAAAGATTGGGGGTCTATAGTACCACTAGGAAATGAAACACAAGTCTAGACAGATATGATTGCTGAATTTGGTATTATCTAAATAATGTCTTCTGTTTATATAAAATTCTTTCCATGCTTTTGCTAAATGGTCCAGTAGCTTAATCAAGGAAAATTTTCTGCTTTCATGCTAGACTGTATTGGCATCATAGTAGGCACCATTGCTTGTTTATATTGAAGAATTAAGTCTCTTGCTTCCTACTTTCTCAGGTGGTTTATGAGTTGGCAAAATTACGTCGGAGGAGACAATTGTTCAATTAATGATCAGTCTACTAGTTTTCAACATTCAAATGGGCTTTTAAAGACAGCAGAAAGACCTGGAATTATAGATAACTATGATCTAGTTAAAAATAAAAATGATACTGAAAGCAATGATTTGGAGCTTTCTAGAACACTGGAAGAAGGTTGTGATTATGTTTTGGTTCCTCAAGAAGTTTGGAAGAAGCTTGTTGATTGGTAATTATCTTTATCTTTGAGCTTCTTGATGTGATTATATTTGCTTGAGGAGATCTTTATATAATTGGAGTTCAAATGAAAAATAGTATTTTCTTTTGATAGATAAAGAACAAGCACATTATAGTAATATACATGGCTTTATAATACACACACAGACATACATGCAATGGTACAGTACAAATCCTTTCTAATTCAAATTAGTGCCTTAAAGTTATAGCAATGGAAAGGTGCCATCACTTCCAGATGTCAGAGGTGTAATCCTTGAGATGTGAAGTTCCATCCTCATGAGCTCTCATTTTTTTTTTCTGCAAAAAGAAAATTCAAATTACAAAGATTTTTTTTTTTTTTTTTGAAAACGAGGTTTGACAAAATGATTGAACTGGAAAAACTGGGAACCACTTGCCCCTCTGGTAAATTGTCTATCCCTTAAAGTCCATTTATTTCAGTAAACCATTGTTCAAACCAGTCCTGAGTGGACTCTCCTAAATGGAGATGTGTTTGTGTCAGACATGCATTGGAGCCCAACACTCCATGTATTCTTGAGGACGCTTCTACATAACAATTCTTTTTATCTCTAATAACTAGTATCAAGGTTCAAAATATCGATACGCCTGATATGCCAGTATGGGAGTATCGGGCGAATCAATACAGTGTTTCAGGCTTTTTTTTTATTTTTTTTCGCAACCGGTTCAGGGGGGCCGGTTTAGGTCTCCTCTACCCCTTGAACCGGTCAGACCTCCGATACACCCACTGTAGGGGCTTATCGGAGGGGTCCCGGAATGATACGTATTGGCCGATACAGGCCGATACATGTCGATACTTTGGACCTTGACTAGTATACAGGATTAATGCCATTTTTCATATCAAACATCATTCGGTAACAAAGGCAACACTTTATATTTCTTTTTGCAGGTAATGGTAGAATTCAAAAAATATGAACTATTTTAATAATACATACTTTTCCATAGATGTGTCTGTGACTCCATGTTTTCTCATCTTGCTAAGTCAGACTCTTGGATTTGCCTCAAACTCTGACTTCTATGTCCATATCCATGCAGTACCTGGTTCAAACCAGTCGAGTCATTCAAATTTCAAACAAGTAAATAGTTCTAATAACTTTGATGTTGGGTGTATTTTTTTTTTATTTTAATTTTTGAAGAGAAAGATAACTTATATTCAAAAGGGGGGGGGGAATGTACAAACAGGCCAGAGAATCTAAAGGTGCAGTTCAGCAGAGAAGACAGCTCATGAATTTCAGCAAGCAGGTGAGCTATCCTCCACAGTCCCTCATCTGAGTCTTTTGCCCACTAGATGGTGATCCTTGAATACCCTTCTACTGCTAAGAGGCTGAAATGGGGCCTCTTTCGCAAGCCTTAAGCCTTCTAGTAGGGAGTGGGCTTCTTCTTCAGAGGCATCTACAGCTTGAACTGGACCACTGAAAGCCCAGAAGATGTATCCATTAGAGTTTCTAACAATGCCCCCTATTCCAGCTGCTGAGGGAGGAAGCAACGACCTTCTAAAGCTGCAATCAAACTGCAACAGGAACTCACACTCCCTCCTTGGCGGATGTAGAGTTGTTGAAATTGGAGGGGAAGGGGAAGTAGGCAGAATCTGCAGCCAGCTTCTTTGTAACTCCCCTCTGCTCACATCATGTGTGTGTGTGTGATTATATATACACATGAGTGGTTTTCAGTAAAGAATAATAAGAACTTAATATGACACATATCAGCATGAGTGGTTTCCAAAACATTATAGGTCTTATTTCTAAGAAACTGCCACTTAATTGTTGCCTAAACACCCACTTAAGCACTTGGGGTAACGGGAGCAGGGGGTACCTTGTTGCTTAGTCTCGACAGCTATGTCAGTTACCAAGTGAGGAAACTTGTGGTGTAGCCGTGTAGGGGTGTTCAATGGTATTGGCATTATTTAAAGGAGCTGAGAACCTTAAGAGTCAGAAATTAATGCAAGCTTCACATGGACATACAGATCAACAAATGTGGTGGCAGATACCATGGCTAGACAAGGGGTTAATGAGGCATAAGGCATAACTCTACTGGGGTATATTGTATTAGGGCACTGATGTAAGGGGAGGGGGCGGGGGCAGGTGCTAGCCTTACAAAAGGAATCCTGGGTATTCTGTTGTAGCTATATACTTATTCTTTTTTAAAATCTAATAAAGTTCAAGTTACCAATAAAAAAATAATTGCATGGAAGGTTATAAATGAAAGCAGATCCTACTGATTAAAAATGTTTAATATACTGATTAAAAAGCTTTCTGAAGATCCACTGGATAAAGAACTAACTGTAACAAATTTGCAAATTGTAACACCAAGTCTGGATCGTCAGAAAGAACATTAATGGTACTTCAGTTGATCCAACAGAACAGTGCAAATCTTCTATTTGATATATAAATCACTTGGCTCTTGATAGTCCACAATGACAGGATAAGATTTGTCTAACTGACTTAAAATAGTTAGGATTACGGCTGAATTGAATTGAAATCACTTGAAATGGGAAGAAAATGTTTTCCTTTTACGAATATTAGACTCTTTAGCTTGTAAATAAGTATTCTTTTTTTTTTTACTTTCCCTTTATAGTTTTGTAGCTTCTATATTCATTACTATTTATGATATTTATTAAGATTACATAATATTCTTCATTAGAGTAGATCTTACTGGATGTTTCAATATCTTTCATCTCATTGTACTTTTAAGACTGTCACTTTGTTCAAATTAGGTTAATAAATGAGCCATATTGAATTATGGTACTTCTTGATGTTTAGAATTGGTGGTTAAGTATTAGAATATGAACTAGGATAATTATGACTATCTGTTTCATCTTTGTAAAAGGTTTTTGTCATTCAAATCTGTTTGCATTTTATTGTTTCACTTTCACAAGGTAATTTGTTGTTTTTTTTTTTTTTTTTTTTTTCTAGAGTTGTAAGATTGGTAGTTTGCTGATAATTGGTACCGAATGTTAAGAAGTCTAAATGTTTAGTCTCTTGTTGCATTTTCCATTCTGCAAAGAAGTGACTTGCAAGTGTTGGAAAGGGATGACGAGGATTATTCCTTGTGGAATCCGAGTCAGAATCTTTCCTGTTTTTTTAGTTATTTATTTTCTTATTTAGACTGATTATTTTCCTTTTTTTGGCTGTGATTTAGTTTCCTTTTTTTCTTTAGGCTAAATTAGTGGGTTAGTTTCCTAGAATAGCTCCTAGATTGATTCTTAGAAGTTGTATATATTAGTACAAATCTTCTCAATGAAATTAGAGCAGAAATCTTCAAACATTTGTTTCTGTTTTCATGGTATCAGAGCCTGCGACGATGTCTAGAACGAGCCATTCTTCATCAACAGTGGACTCGACAGCAGTTGATTCAACCATGAATGCATCGAGATCCCTTGGAACCTCCTTCACCACCTCTGACATATTCCATTCTCTGCAGATTACCCAACACAAATTAAATGGGTCCAATTTTCATGAATGGTTTCAATTCGTTTTGTTAGTGATTCGAGGAAAAGGAAAAGTGGGTTACCTTACTGGTGAAATCCCTCCTCCGACGAGCAGTGATGCGAGTTACAAGACATGGGAAGATGAAAATTCCATTGTCATGGCGTGGTTAATTAATTCCATGGAGCCGCAAATAGGACGCACGTATCTGTTTTACAAGAATGTTCACGAAATATGGAAGGCTGTTCAGGAGATGTACTTAGATCTTGGAAACATGTCTCAGTGTTTTGAAATTCGTTCTCTCMTGCGGAACATAAGGCAGGGATCAATGTCAGTAACTGAGTACTACAACAGGCTGATTGACCTATGGCAAGAAATGGATTTGTTTTATACAATTCCATGTAAGTGTACTGATGATGGAGTACTGTACAATCAAGTCCTTGAGAAAATCGAGTATTTGATTTTCTTCAAGGACTCGATAAAGACTTGGATGAAGTACGAGGTCGTATTCTCGAAATCAAACCCCTTCCTTCACTTCGTGAGGTGTTCTCTGAGGTTCGACGAGAAGAAAGGAGGAAAGTCATGATGAACCCATCCTCACATGGAATCCTAGAGGAACAATCTCAAGGAGCTACACTTGCATCTACTCGGTCTCAACCTCAGAAGAAAAAAGAAAACCACCAGTGGTGTGAACACTACAAAAAGTCGTATCACACAAAGGAGACTTGCTGGGACATTCATGGAAAACCTCTAGATTGGAAACCACGGAATCAGAGGAAAGGCAACCCTTCAGCTCATGTAGCCGAATCTGCTGAGACAAAGAAGCCTAACACAACAGCTTTCACACCGGAACAAATGGAGATTTTAAGGTCTCTTCTTCACCAGCAACAAATTTCTGAGACATCAGGTTCTACACCTACAACGGCAATTGCACAATGAGGTAATATCTCATCATTTCTATTATCACGAAAAGATGATCTCAATGACTGAATTGTTGACACCAGTGCATCAGATCATATGACAGGACATCATACAACTTTTTTGAATTATAAAAAATGTGATGGTGAGATAAAAGTCTCAATGGAAAATGGGAATACAATAATTATGGTTGGAGTTGGAGATGCTTTTTACTAAGGACTTTATTTGAAATTTGTTCTTCATGTTCCGAGTTTAAGATATAATCTCCTTTCTGTTAGTAAGTTAACTAAGGATCAAAATTGTAAAGTAACATTTCTTTGTGATTGTTGTATTTTTCAGGATCCGTCTTCGGGGAAGATGATTRGCAATGYTGAAGAACGACATGGTCTCTACTATCTCACTGATTCTTCTCCAAGGCCAAAACCAAGATGATTGGCATCTAGTTCGTTGAATTTAGATGTAATTCTATGGCACAAACGCTTAGGACATCCTAGTTTTCAATATTTGAAACATTTGTATCCAAACTAATTTCTCAATAAAGATCCTTTTCTTTCCATTGTGAGTCATGTATTCTTGTGAAACAGTCCAGAAAAAATTATCCTATTCACAATTACAAACCTTCCAAACCATTCCATCTTGTTCACAGTGATATTTGGGGAGCATCACGGGTTGTGGATTTAACAGGCAAGAGATGGTTCATCACCTTYATAGATGACCATACTCGTGCTTGCTGGGTCTATCTCTTGAAGAACAAATCTGATGTCGGGTATGTGTTTCAACAGTTCCATAAAATGATAAAGAATGTGTTCTAATGCAACATTCACATACTCCGCACAGATAATGGAGGAGAATACTTTGCACAGATATTTGGAGATTACCTCATTCAGAATGGCATATTTCATCAAAGCTCATGTACATCTACCCCACAACAAAATAGGGTTGCAGAACGAAAAAATCGTCATTTGTTGGAGGTAGCTCGATCACTCATGTTTGCTAGTGCTGTTCCACATCATTTTTGGGGAGAATCTGTATTAATTGCTGCCTATTTAATCAATAGACTTCCATCAAAACCCCTCAAATTTCGTACACCAGTCAGTTGTCTCCAAAAGAATTCCCTCATATTCGTTTACTCAACTCTCTCCCACAAAAAATATTCGGTGTTCTGTGTTTGTTCATAATACCAGTCCTACTTGGGGAAAACTTGATCCAAAGGCCATCAAATGTATCTTYATAGGATACTCTCCCACTAAAAAAGGATATAAATGTTACAATCCTGTCACAAAAAAATTCTATGTATCCTATGATGTTACATTCCTGGAAGATCAATCATTCTATTCCCATGATTCTCTTCAGGGGGAGAACTTAATTGAAGATAATCATTGGGATCCTTTGATATCTCTTCCTATGTCTTTGCCCCAGTCTCCATCAGTGTCCACTTTACCATCCTCTGAGTCTCCACCATTACCCCTACCAGATACAACCATAGGTCTCGGTCAAGGGGGAGAATTAGTCCAACAACAAAGTGAACTAATTGTTTACTCAAGGAGGCCCCGTGTTACTCAGCAAAACCAATCATCGGAACCTATGGCGGATTCACCACCAGATTCGCAAAGAGGTGCTGTTACAATTGATGATCTGGATGTTCCCATTGCTATAAGAAAGGGGGTAAGATCTTGTACTCAACATCCAATTTCAAATCATTTGTCATATTGCCGTTTATCTAACACTCACAGGGCATTTATATCTCAACTGATAATGTAACAATTCCTACAAATATATATGATGCCTTGAGAGATTCAAAATGGAAGGCTGCTGTTTTGGAAGATATGAAGGCACTAAATGACAATAATACATGGGAAGTTGTAAACATGCTTGAAGGGAAGAAGTTAGTGGGCTGTAAGTGGATTTTTATGGTGAAAGTAGGCTTGGAAGGGAAAATAGAGAGATATAAGGGGCGTTTGGTTGCTCAAGGGTATACGCAAATATACGGGCTTGACTATGAAGAAACTTTTGCACCAGTTGCAAAATTGAACTCTATACGGGTTCTCTTGTCTATGGCAGCCAACTTGGATTGGGAATTGCACCAAATGGATGTTTCAAATGCTTTTCTGAATGGAACTCTTGATGAAGAAGTCTACATGAAGCTGCCTCTTGGCTTTGAAGACAAAGAAAAACTAGGATCAGTGTGTAAATTGAAGAAATCTCTGTATGGGTTAAAACAATCTCCTAGGGCATGGTTCACTCGATTTAGCACAGTTATGAAAAGATTTGGATACACACAAGGACAGGCATATCGCACCCTATTCATAAAACAGTCAAGGGATGGAAAAAAATCAATCTTGATTGTGTATGTTGATGATATGGTAATCACGGGTGATGACAATGATGAGATTACGAATCTCAAGGGCCTACTACAATCTGAGTTCAAAGTTAAGGATCTTGGAAAAATTCAGTATTTCCTTAGGATAGAAATTGCTAGAAGCAAAACTGGTATTTTCATCTCTCAAAGAAAATACATCCTAGATCTGTTGAAGGAAACCGGGAAGCTTGGTTGTCGTCCAGCTAGCACTCCACTGGAGAAGAATTGGAAGCATAAGATCTCTGAGAATGATCTTCCAGCTAACAAAGAGAGAGATCAACGTCTTGTGGGAAAACTAATCTATCTATCACTTACTARGCCCGATATTGCCTATAGTGTTAGCATAGTAATCAGTTTATGCATGCTCCAACTGAGAGACATCAGTGTGCTGTTGATCAGATCCTTAGATATTTGAAAGGAACTCCTGGCAAGGGTATATTGTTCAAGAAAAGTGATAACCGGTTAGTTGAGGGATTTGCAGATGTTGATTGGGCTGGTTCGGTTGAGGACAGTAAGTCTACTACAGGATATTGTACAAAGGTTTGGGGGAACATTGTTACATGGCAAGGTAAGAAGCAAACTGTTGTGTCCAAAAGTAGTGCAGAAGCAGAATACAGGGCAATTGCACAAGGGATTTGTGAGTTAATATGGCTTGAACGACTACTGTCAGACTTAAATGTTCCACTTGATATTACAGTAAGTCAACAATAGCAATAGTACACAACCCTATTTAACATGATCGAATGAAGCATGTTCGCATTGATAGAAATTTCATCAAATCAGAGATCGAAAGTGGAAAATTTTGTCTATCCTATGTGCCATCTGGATCACAGGAAGCAGACATCCTCACTAAACCATTACTTAGGGTCGGGTTTGAGACAAATGTATCCAAACTGGGAATGATTGATATACATTCACCAGCTTGAGGGGGAGTGTTGGAAAGGGATGACGAGGATTATTCCTTGTGGAATCCGAGTCAGAATCTTTCTTGTTTTTTTAGTTATTTATTTTCTTATTTAGGCTGTGATTATTTTCCTTTTTTTGGCTATGATTTAGTTTCCTTTTTTCTTTAGGCTAAATTAGTGGGTTAGTTTCCTAGAATAGCTCCTAGATTCTTAGAAGTTGTATATATTAGTACAAATCTTCTCAGTGAAATTAGAACATAAATCTTCAAACATTTGTTTCTGTTTTCAGCAAGATACTATTAGCAGAAAAATACAAAAGAAATAAGGAAGAAGAAGAGAGGAGAGAGAGAAGAGAGAAGGGAGAAGAGAAGAGAAGAGGAAGTGTTGGGAGTCAAATCTATTCTAGCGGCACCAGAATATATTATATTATATAGGGCGACACTTAAAATATGGGGAAAATACTCTTATGCCCCTGTGTCGCTTATAGTACATAAATAGAATAAAAAACTAAGTTATTCTAAATAGAACATAATAAAATAAACTGAACAAAATAACCAGAATAAACTAAGTTATTTCAACACTCCCCCTCAAGTTGGGACATAGATGTCATGTCAATCATGCCCAACTTGTCACAAAAATCATTGTGCTGCAAATGCTGCATAGGATGAATACCCTTGGTGAAAATATTTGCAATTTGTTCTTCTGAACTGACATAGGGAGTGCATACTTCTCCATACTGTAAAGCCCAGTTCACATAATAGGTTCTTTATCCACATGATTTTATCAACTCCATGAGACATAGCTCTGTATTCTACTTCAACATTGGACCTAGCCACCCCACTTTCTTTCTTACTTCTCCAAGTAACTAAGGCCATGTTTGTGAGTGCTTACAAATAAGTGTTTATTTGAAATAAGTGCTTATTTGGGTTGGGACCACACCATTAAGCACTTATTGGTGTTTGGGAAATAAGTGCTTATTTTTTAACCCCAAATTTCTAGCTTTTTCTCAAGTGCTTCAATTTTTTCTCCCAGATTTGCCCCCAATAAATTTTTAGAATGCCAATTATACCCTTTTTGTTACTTTTAGCAACAATATTGTTACTTTTATGAAAGCACTTTTACGAAAAACACTTTTATAAAAGTACTTTTACAAAAGAACTTTTATAGAAGTACTTTTACAAAAGAACTTTTATAGAAGTACTTTTACAAAAGTACTTTTATAAGAGCACTTTCGCGAAAGTACTTTTACAAAAACACTTTTATAAAAGCACTTATACAAAAGCACTTTTATGAACGTACTTTTATCAAAGTACTTTTATGAAAGCATTTTTATCAAAGTACTTTTACTCATTCACTTTGGATTGGATATTTTGAAAATTCGAAAGAAAATGAAGGACAAAAGAGTCACAAGTGCTTATTGGAGAAAAAGACCACCAAATGCCCAATACAAAATAAGTTCTTATTTTTTAAAATAAGCACTTGAAAAGTTGGGTGGCAAATGCAAATAAGTGACAAAAGAGTCACAAGTGCTTATTGGAGAAAAAGACCACCAAACGCCCAATACAAAATAAGTTCTTATTTTTTAAAATAAGCACTTGAAAAGTTGGGTGGCAAATGCAAATAAGTGCTTATTCGAATAAGCGCTTGTTTTTAAGCACTTATTTTTAACATAAACACTCCCAAACATGGCCTAAGTTTCATCCCACAAAGGTACAATACCCATCGGTAGACTTTCTATCATCAACTGCTCCTGCCCAATCAGCATTTGTATACTGTATACACTTCAACTTTCAAATGCCCATGTTTCTGAAACAACAAACTGGCCCCTGGGAACCTCTTGAGGTATCTAAGGATCCTTTTTGCAGCTTCAAAGTGGGAAAGTCTTAGGGTTATGCATGAACTGACTAAGACACATTTATAAAAAAAAAAAAAAAAACTGACTATGGACACCCACTACATAGGCAATGCAGGTCTGGTCATAGACTAATATAAGAGTCTCCTTTCAAGTCTCTGGAACCTCTTTACATCTTTCATAGCCTCCCCTGACAGTCACCCAATCGATGATTAGGTTCAATGGGTGAATCAATTGGCTTCACTCCTAACTTGCTTGTGTCCTCTAAAAGATCCAATACGTATTTCCTTTGAGAAAAGATGCCCTTTTGAGAGCGAGAAACTTCAATCCCAAGGAAATAATGTAAGGAGCCTAGATCTTTCACTTCGAACTGAATGGCTAAGAATTTCTTCAACTTCTATATTTCAGTTTTTTTATCTCCTGTGACTACTATGTCATCAACATACACGATTAGAGCTGCAATTTTCCCTTCACCTTTCTTCACAAATAGAGTATGATTTGACTGGAATTGTTTGAACCCCATTGTTGTACAACTAAGTGAAACTTACTAAACTAGGCCCGAGGTGATTGTTTCAACCCATATAATGATTTTTTTAATATGTACACCTTCTCCTCACTACCTTTGGCACAAAAACCTAGAGGTTGAGTCATGTACACCTCCTCCTCTAGGTCTCCATTCGAGAATGCATTTTTAATATCTAATTGGTGAAATTTCCAGTCAAGATTAGTTCCTAGTGAAAGGAGGATTCTGATAGAGTTCATCTTGGCTACTGGAGCAAAGGTCTTTCGTAGTCTACTCCATACATCTGTGTAAACCCTTTTGCCACCAATTTGGCTTTGCACCTTTCTACCGTACCATCAACCCTATGCTTCACTGTGAACACCCACTTATAGCCCATTGGTTCTTTTCCTTTAGGAAGATCCACAAACTCTCAAGTGCCATTTTTGTGCAAGGCATTAACTTCTTCATTCATTGCATTTGTCCATAGTCTATTCCATACACATGTGGGGCCTTATACTCTAGCAACCAAGGTGGTATATGATTGACAATATATGCAGCACACATAACAACATCCATCTAGAAGCATTTCAGAACATGCATATGGAGTAGTAATCCACGAGCACTTACAGTGCATAAACTCCAATGATGTATATTGTTTTTGTTCTCGGTGCGTTTTATTTGTATTAGTTGTATTATTTTCCAGCAATTCCCCATTTAGGGGGTGTTATGTAGTGTGGATGAGAAATTGGGTAGTGTGTTCTCATTCGCACCACACCTATGTGGACTCATCCATGCCACAGGTGGTGAGTTGTTCTATACTGTGGACAAAAATGAGTGGATTGAACCATACCACACCCATAGAAGCGTACTGCTACTGCAAGGTGTGGTGTAGTTCAGTTTACACCCTGTGTGATGATGCCATGCATCTCACATACAACATGTGGGACGATGTCACTGCTGATCAAGAATATAAATTATTGTGTTTTATAAGTAATATAAATAATAAAAAATGATACAAATTAACCATGGCCAATACAAAATATTATAGTATAAATAATGAAAAATTGATACAAAATAAACCATGTACATGTAATTACTAATAATTATAAAAATTTAAAAGTAATTAAAAAATTAGTGAAGTTCAAAGAAAATCTATCTAACAATAGCTAATAAAAATCAATAAATAATTAGTGCAAATATTTTTTAATAACCATAATAATGAAATCAAAATTTAAATTGACATTTATTGTGGTAGGCATGTGAAGCATTGAATTGAAGTTTTTTTATTTTAGCCACCGTGGCATGGAACCGACCACAAGATATAGCTGTGGGCGATTATTTGTTAGATAGTGTGGACCGATCCACAAGATCATGTGGATTGATCCACACCATTCCTCAAAGAAACTCCAATTTCGGTGTGACGTGTTTCAAAACTGTCCATCCAAGAGATGGACCACACACTGCTGAACACTGCCTTGGTCAATTATAGGAGCTAATTGGTCATGGCCCATGGGTGTGATTTTTGGGCACAACCTACTCATCTTTCTATAAATGTGTATATCATCTTCATTTTTCCTTATACGTTCAACTCTTTCTTCATTGCATTTTTGCAGGTACAAAGGAGGGCCTGCTATACCCAGAAGGTTGATTTTACAAGGTGATCTTAACAAGAATTTTATTGTTGAGGTTTATCCACTCTGTCTTAAAGTAATTGACTCTAGAGACAACACCCTATCAGTTATCCAGATAAGTAAGAAGGTATTTCTGTTTGATCCATCTTCTATCATCTCTTAGATTCTAACTATTTCATGATTTTCCTTTTGTAGTTGCTTAACTTTATTGTTTTCATTTTTTGATGGAACTTCATTGTTTTCTTACACAAGATGTTGATAGTATTTTACTTTGTTGTTTTCTAAAAGAAGTCTGTTTTTGAATGGGTGAAGTATAGAATTTCATTAAGCTTCAAGAAATGAATGATAAGCATGACCACCCATGTACACCAGAGGACTATATACTGACAAAATACAAAACATATAAAACCCCTAGGGCTTTATCTTCTTACCCAAAGGTTCTCCTTTACAAAAAAGAGGTAAGAGGGATTCCTTCAATTATAGATAAAAGACATGAGAATACCCCATCTGAGTTGAAGATATTGGAGAGTTATTTGCTGTGTTCAGACTACTTACACCTTAAGAAAGTTAGAAATTTTATTTGAAGCAGTAGCTAATTCTTCACAACAAAATTAACCTGGGTTAAACCAACGATTTGGGAACCAGAATCAGCTGGAAGGTGGAACCACTTGAACTGGGGCTTGGAATATTTTCTGTTTGGTTCATGCTAATTGAACCAAGCTACTATATAAATTAAAGTAGAAAAATTCTCAAAAAATCATCTGGTTCAGTCATGAGAAGAGAAGAAAACCAAAGATATAGTACAAGGAGTTGACTTTTAATGGTCCATTTGTTTGGTAGCATCGGATGATTAAAAGAGGTAGGTTGAAATTGCATGATCTCCAGATCCTGTTGGAGAATTCAAATCAAAATTTAATGCTGGAATTTGATCTCCAGTGTAAATATTCTGTAGCTTTGACCTTTGATATACTGCAACACTAAGTATGCCGGCATGTTCATAATTCCCTGTTCCCTGAGTGTTATCCACAAATCAGATCATCAAGTTTTGGAGGAGGGGAACAGTTTTAACTGTTTCACCTGGGACAAAGACGCTTCTTGTTAGTGGTGTTAGTGAAGGGGTATTTTGTTCTTTGCACTTGTTGAGAATGTTGATGTGTACTGTTATGTTAGTTCGAGTGCCTCTTACTTAAATAAGGGCACATAAGTCTTTTCCAATAAGTTGATAATATAATAACAGGTCTGGCCGAATCTAGGGA